ACGGGTAAAGGTGCTAAGTGATGAATTCAGCACAGAAATAAACAGCAATGTCGTGGTGACATATCCCCTTTAACTCCAGATTTGTCTTAAAGTGCAGGTTCTTTTACACTTACGGTCTCATGTTTGTTTTTCGTCCCCAAATATATAACAAATTGGAGCTGGTATCAAACAGTAGGAGAGTCAGTAATCTTTTATGTCTCATCATATGAATGACAATTTTCTATTTTCAAGTTTATGTTCGTTTTATTTTAGCTTGGAACTCCTCAGCGTCTCCCTAAGCGCCTGCGATTTGTGGTTGATGTCAGCGGCAGCATGTATCGGTTTAACAGCTTAGATGGCAGACTGGGGCGAATGATGGAGGCAGCTTGTCTTGTGATGGAAGCATTTCATCAGTTTGACAACAAAATTAAGGTGCCTGTGTTTTCCTTATATCAGCCATCAGTATTCTGTATGCCTTTTTCGATGTGTCAGCACTTTCGAAACGTTAATACATTTTAATTATCGTCCACGTCATCACCATCATCATCATCATCGTCATCATCATCATTATCATTATTATCATCATCGTCAACATCATCATCATCTTCATGAAAATAATTAAAACACCAAATTTCTTTACCTTTTTTGGTTTGCATGTTTTATTTATAGGCAAATTTTCCTACCATATGTCATCTGTTGATTCTTTTACTAGTTACTTACTCTACGTTTAAATGTCTGTTTTTATTCAACGGTTAATTACTTCTGAAATTGTATGATGTTGGAACATACGAAACGTCAAGTTAAAAACTTTTCTTTCCGCTTCAAAAATGTGTTTATATTTCCTTATGTTTATCACCGCAGTTTGCTTTTTGTTTCTTTTTCCAATATTTCGCAAAAAAATAAAAAGCTGTTGGTGATACAGGAAGAGTATGTGGTTTTTCAGTCTTTCTCCTTTTCTCATTTGACGGTTATCGGTCCAACTGAAAACCCTCCAAATATTCACTTTTACTCGAGATTGTTTTTTCCTCTCAGTATGATATCGTTGGCCACTCGGGTGATTCTCCCGAAATTCCGTTTGTCTCCCATGATGCACCTCCAAAGAACAACAAGGAGCGCCTTGACATCATGAAACAGATGCACGCACATGCGCAGTACTGCTGGAGTGGCGATCTTACGTTGGAAGCGACGGATTTAGCAATTTCCCGGATCACCGAGCAGGAAGCAGACGACTATTTTGTCGTTGTGCTCAGCGATGCAAATCTGGAACGGTATGGCATACCCGCAGAGGCTTTTGGGAAGGCGCTGACGTCAGATGCACGAGTAAATGCCTTCGCCATTTTCATTGGCTCGCTTGGTAACCAGGCAGACAGGTAAGCATTGTTGAAAGGACTTCTGAAGAATCTTTAACAGTCGTTTTAACTATTAAGTGTTCGTCACACATTCATTCAGTTAAATTCTCACCTCTGTTTCAGGTTAGTAAAAAAGCTGCCTTCAGGGAGAGCGTTTGTCTGCATGGACACTAAACATCTTCCGCAAGTCCTACAACAGATCTTTACTGCGGCCATGCTCAATTCAAGATGACCATCTAAACTATTTATTTTCATAAGAAAGCGGATTACAAAGCCTGATGGCACTGAACCAAGTGGTCATAACACATGTATTGTATTACTGGAAGACCACGGAATAGAATGGCACTATTGGCCAAAGCGAAAAATACCATAATATTCGAAAAATTCCTGTTTCGGTGGAGCTTCATGTAGACAAGTGATTTGTGCAAGGTCGTTTGTTCTGTACACGATTTGCACTTGCAGTGCATCAGCTTCTCTTAAATTTCTATGCCCTGCAGGCGCAGTTCATACAAGGAACAACACATAATTCAAAAGTCAGGTTTTGCACGACGCACCATCCAAACGGCAGCTAAACGAATAGACCTTATTCAGGATTACCGCCATCTTTGCACGCGCTTTAGGGTTGATGGGAGAAATGCAATGTCACGTGGTATTTCAGCGGGCAAACAAGGGATAAAAGATGCCAATACGAGTAAGTGCGGTTGAGTTTGTTTATTCTCTCAAAACAAGACGACTATTTTAGTCATGCAAAATGTACAGTTCGAGTTTCGACAATTTTTGTATCATTATTGCTTGCTGTGCGAACGTCTACAGTCGCTACTGCATTCAGTAGAGTAACACGTATCGCTTCAACCCATAATTTGGTATTATCGTCTTTACAAGAAAACGTTCTTCATTTTCTGTTGTCTAGAATAAATAAACTCGACGGCGATTTCTTTTATCGGCAGATTTTAGCGCTTGTTTGCCCTGTGAGAAACAAAGAGGCATCGCTTTTTTCCTGTCGTCTTTAAGAGCGTGCAAATATGGCGGGTATCGCGAATAAGGTACATTTATATATATATATATATATATATATATATATATATATTTTTTTTTTTTTCACCGCTTTGAGCAATTGTCGGCTTACAGCTGACCTCATGTTGGACGCTTTCTTATAGTTGGTTGACAAAAGCAAAAGTAGCCTGTTCCAGGCTCCAAGAAAGCGGCTTGAGAAAATTTTGAGCGAAAACCGCGTGGGGTTGGGAAGAGACGGAGAAGGTGGAGCGTGTAAGCATCATTGTTGTCAATGCCTCATTCCGGTTACCAGCTCCTGGTATGCCCCGTGATTGGTCAATTTTGACAGTTTACGTCAACACTTACGTCAATCACTTGGCTTCGCGCGCAGAGTTAAACAAACTTGACGTGCGTGTGAAACCCTATTACACCGTACATTTCCACATTTTAACATTTCTTTCTTTTTTTTTTCTTTCCTTGTCTTTTGACACAAGAAACGGTTTTCTGGAAGTGGGCGGGGTCGCAAGCGGACTCAGGCAGCCTCGTCGCCAGTCGTCTTCGGCGATTTCGGATGTGACGTCACCTGTCAAGCTTGTCGATCGCGCTCGGTTCCAAGCCTCCTCTGGTGACTCGGATAGCGCGAACTAGCCTGGATACGAGGCTGGGACTGAGGTATTCAAAAAGATGGTGACAGGTTTTCCCCTCCTCTCTTCCCGCCGTTTATTGCTCCCTCGCATTTTCGCTGCTTGCCCTATTTCGCTCAACTGCGCTGACCGAGAGCCTGGTACAGGCTAAGACAAAAGCGTTTCTTTCTACTGGAACTGACTTAACTCTTTTGTCGTGCAAATTCTGCGATGTTTTTTCAATCAGCGTGGTCGTTCTGTCATGTCAGTGTAAACCAAGAATAGTCAATTCCTAGATAATTGCGGATTTAATGAAATTACTAAAACCTTTGATAATTGGTTATAGTACAACAAATTCCTGTAAATTAAATATTCTTATTTTTTAGCGTCTCTCTTGTTGTGTGTTTCTCTACCCGACACAATTTATCGTCCGACCTGTTTGTTCTTGCCCTTATTTCATTTTCGGTGTAAAAACTACTCACGGTTGACCTAAAACAAAGTAGTCTACATTACAGAACTTAGGAAAACAAAAGGTGCAGTGCTAAAAACAAAGAAAACGTTCACAGGTTCAAGTGTTACACCGTGATAAACCCACCGCAATGACCCTAATACTAGTAATAGTTGACACTACAGCTGCCCCGCTCTGTATATTGTCGGTCAATAGTATTCTTGCTCGTTGTGTAGCTCTTTGAAATATACCGATTCATAATGAAGATTTTCACACATATTCCATGCAATAGGTGAGGTAAATACAGGAAACGCAAGGTTCCATGCAGAGTTTCAGTTCGATTTACACAGCTTTGATCAAAACATTCGCGAACAGTTTATTCTAAACCATAAACTAAACTCACACAAAAACCAATAAACCACTTTTTACATTCAGTTCATTTTATTTGCCGGAAAGTAAGCCTTAGAAATTAAAATGACGTTTGATCAATTCACGCTCGCGCATTCTAGTCTTATTTTAAACTTTATAGCGGAAGGACATCGTTCTGCTAGTGATAAGCTAGCCGTTGTTTACTCGTCTTGCTTGTTTGGGACTGAGTCTTATTCCGGTCAAAGAGAGAGAAAGAGTGTCTGGCAAGGTTTCCAATCTCGTGTCTTGCAAACTCTCCAAGTGTTTATATATACACGGTTATACGCACCTTATAACTTCGTCTGCGCTTAACGAGTGTCTTTTGGTCCATAACTTTCAAAACAACTGCTCCACAGAATGTCACTGATAACACGTAAACAATAAATGTTACAAAATCTACGTAAGCAGTCCCTTCGGGATTTTCTGTCTTTACCTCATCCTAACCATTTCGTACTTGCGGGCGCAAACAATAGAAACGACATCATTACCTACCGATTCCTCGCGGCCCCTGTTCAAGCAGATCGAGATTTTTTCTGGCATACTGACTGTATATTTCAACTGTAAGTACTTTCCTTAATATACGCGCCAGTTACTAGAGTGCCACCTCGTAGCCTCACCGAGAATCCCGTTCCTCGGTCTTTCTTTGCTCCGAAACCAAACGGAAACGCTTGATATGCAGGCTAGCCTCCTCGGGATTTCGCCTTCTGGGCGAAATCCCTGTGGGAGCAATGACGACAAATTCGTCGCGTCAAGGCAATGAGCGAGGAGAAACGTCTGCCGTTCGCAGGCTAGTCAAGTTGACAATCCAGGCGCTCGTTGGACTAGACAACTTTTTCGTCCCCTCGAGTTAGCGTGCGAGTAAGATCTCCCTTTGGAGGGGTCGCGAGAAGTCACGCGAGAGCGGCAGGCGAAAGGAGACGCGAGAGTGAGAGGCACGAAAAGAAGGTCTTCCGCCCCTCGCTCATTCGTTCTCTTGCCCCTGGGTCTCCGAAGATGTATATTGATAAACGAATAGTCAAACAGCTTGTGTGAGCCCCCATGACACAGGGACTCGAGAGGTCTGGGTCGGTCGGGAGGGGTCGGGGTCGAGACATCCTCGCTCCTCGCTCCTAGGGTCTAGGGCCAAGTTGATCAAAGAATCTCTCTGCCTCGCAGGTCGAGATATTTATATGTACTTCTCAACCCAGGGAACGAAGGAAGATGCGTGTAAATCTCTGTCGATCATTACGGGCCGCTAGTGTAATAACCAGCAAGATAGCGGAAGGTTATCAACAAAATTCAAAATGGCAAAGAAACGGTGGAAAGCGATTTGTTGAGAACGAAGTCGTACCATATCTTGGCAACGATATCTTGGATTTAGGCTGTGGTACTGGCGAGCTGTCCGCATACCTTGCCGAACTTGTAGGGCCAAAAGGTAGAGTTTTAGCAGTCGACCCTGACAAAGAGCGCATTCGAGTGGCTCAAGAATCGCACAAAGAAGTAGAAAACCTCACNAATTCAAAATGGCAAAGAAACGGTGGAAAGCGATTTGTTGAGAACGAAGTCGTACCATATCTTGGCAACGATATCTTGGATTTAGGCTGTGGTACTGGCGAGCTGTCCGCATACCTTGCCGAACTTGTAGGGCCGAAAGGTAGAGTTTTAGCAGTCGACCCTGACAAAGAGCGCATTCGAGTGGCTCAAGAATCGCACAAAGAAGTAGAAAACCTCACATTTGCTCCTGGAAGCACCTTGAGCTTTCCAGGCCTGGGTTTGGAGACTTACAATGTTATCTTCTCAAATTTTGTTCTTCACTGGATAAAGAACATTGAGGATAAGAAAAATGCCTTCCAAAACATGTTTAGGAGCTTGAAGCCGACGGGGAAAATTTTTATGCGATATAGTGGTCGGTTGCCTACTCACTTTGACGGTGTCTTTCGCGAGCTCAACCCAGAAAATATGGATCGTTTACTAAACCTGTTCGAACATGAAACAAGACCAGTCATTGAAAAATTGTGTGAGGCCAATGGATTCCGCATTCTGAAAAGTTTTCACGAGAAGCACGATGATCTCGCGTTTGAAAATGGCGAAGCTCTGTGTTTGTTTTTCTGGGCGACTACAAACGGTGTATTTGATTCACAGCTGATTACTTAAGAACGACTTGAAAAGTTTTGCGCTCGGTTTTCAAGTGGAGAAACTGACGGAATTAAGTTGCGTTCGGAAGAGACCGATTTATGCAGTGTTTTAGTGGCTGAGAAACCAGCAGAGTAATAGGACGGCGAAATGTTTGTGTGACAAACGTGACAGCGCTCGAACCTGCGAATTTTGTCCTGATCATGATTGTCACGCAAGGTTGCTGTCGTTCCCTTTGCTTAAAGGGGTTATGTCACGCTATTTGCTATCTTTTTAAAAAGCTAAAACTGCATCAATTGACTTCCAAAAATAACGGTCCAGCTTTGTTTTTTAAGACTATATTTAAGCACTGAAACTGTTTTCTGTCGTCCATTGCAAAGGATGGCAAGGATGGACATGGGTTGAGGCTTGAAAAAGTTGAGTTTTAATGCTATGCCTGAAAAAAATCACCAAAAAATAATTGTTGTTAGTGTGATGAAATTTGTTTGGTATCTTCTTCAGTACTGGATCCAGGGGGGCCCAGTCATCCAGACCCTTAGGAAAGGGAGGGGCGGTCTCCAAGAAAATTTTTTTGGGCCCTTTGGGCCTCAGTTTGGTCTAAAAATAAGAGGGGGGCGGGCCCCCCTGGGTCCCTCCCCAGGATCTGCCACTGTTCTTCAACTAACTACAGGAACATTTTTTGTACTGCGCTATTTGATGAGCATTGACCCCAAGCTGGAGATAGAAATAAGTCAAATATGAGCCTAATTAATTTTTTTCAGGCCCCAATTTAACCAGAAGAAGGGTCGTAAAGACTGCTAACAGCCCCTCAGGGTGATCACAGCTAGCTTGCATGGTTGGGCATGGTGCCCGCATGCCACGAACAATGCAAATGCGTGATGAAGGGTGAAGGCAAGGCAAGCCTATTATTAAATGTGTACAGGAAAGCATAGTTACCATTATTTCTGTTTATATTATATTTTTGTCTTTAATTGTCTTTTTTGATTGAATTTTAATTTGCAGCCCATTTATAGGGTGGCCCATAGGGTGGCCCATATAGTGGCCCACAGATGGCCTGTGGGCTAGCCCATGGGCCCTGGCCCAGGTTTTGTTTCCACCCCACGTGGCATGCACGTTATATTTGGCTGTTCAAAATAGAGTAAAATCAGTAAATTTTACAAGTCAAGTCTTCACAGGAAGTATTTTTTAAAGAGTGAAATCTGTAAATAGCATCGAAATGCAACATTTAAAAAAAAAAACTCTACACAAGCCCTACTTTGTTGTTTACAATCTTATTTACCATCCTTTTGCTTTCATTTTGGGCGGAGCCTGCCCGTATAGGCCATTATGGGGAGTAACCCATCCACCCCGGAGGTTTAAGGTACTAGAGCCTCCATGGTTAAGTAGCTGGTTGTCAAACTTTCATTGATTAATTACACTCGGCATGTTCAACCGTGCAAGTTTGCTCGGTGACCAACAGGAAGTGCAATGAAGTCACTAAGAAGTGCGTTCGTAACTGCCTTGGTCAAGCAATCTTTTTTAATGAAATATGATTTACACTGTAAGGGTAAAAGTAGCTTTCACTCTCATCTGATGAAGATTTCAGAACATTTTAACTTTCCTGACTTTAGAACAAATCCAAATTTGTTATGACATATCACTTAATCGCAAAACCCCCTTCAACATTCTCAAAAAGGCTAGAATTTTATAGCTATTTTAAAAACGACCATATTACTTCTAATTGCCAGGAACAGCTGAGACAAGAGCAGAAGACTGAAATTACGAATAAGCAACCACGAACTTGATAGAACTAGGTACATACAGTCAAATAGAATCAAACTACAGATCAAACTGTACTTAAGGTAATAGACATTGCCCTTTTTGTAGGTCCGGCCAATCAAATAGATGTCAAAGTTCATTTGTTTTTTTCATTGTCCTAAATACTCTATGTGAGGAATAATTTTTACAATAACTTTTAGACTCTATTCAAAATATCACGCAGTAACCCGTAAACGATTTGATCAATGAACCGATTAATTCCTCTAATTACTATATCAATATACCGTTCATTAAATATATTTCAGCTCGCTTTGATTTTCGCGACAAATATATTTGACGGGGTAACTTAATTGCAATGTGATGAAATTTTAGTGCTCCGGCCTGATTTCCTTAAAATAGCTTTTACAATGCTGTGTACATGTATGGTCACGCAATTTATTATTGTTTTTTTTTTTTGTTGTATAAGGTCCTCTTCTGATTTTTGGACCATCTTTTTTGAAAACCTTTAGATTCTTTTTTCCTGCAGACCTGGAATGAGAGGCATGCCCCCCTTAATTGGAAATATTTTAACAGGTAGTGCTTCCCCCGGGACTAAAACAAACCATGAATCAGTCATGCATTCATTCTTAGATTTGTTTCTTGCCGTGAAGCTGATTCACTTGAATCGAACGTTTCCAACGAGGGCGACAAAAACCTCGGAGGTTCTTATCGCCGCTTGTCCTTCATCTGTTCGTTCTCCTGTTCATGAGCGTTAGCTCAATAACTTAAAGTTAAAAGGTTTTCCTATATTACGAAGTATTCTTTAAGGAGCGATTTCAGTACACGGCCACTTTCATTACTGATAATAATGTCGAACAAGATGGCAACAGGTTATCAGCAAAATTCAAGATGGCAAAGAAACGGCGGAAAGCGATTTGTTCAAAACGAAGTCGCACCATATCTTGGCAACGATATATTGGATTTAGGCTGTGGTACTGGCGAGCTGTCTGCTTATCTTGCCAAACTAGCAGGGCCAAAAGGTAGAGTTTTAGCAGTCGACCCTGACAAGGAGCGCATTCGAGTGGCTAAAGAATCGTACAAAGAAGTAGAAAACCTCACGTTTGCTGTAGGAAGCACCTCCAGCTTTCCAGGCCTGGGTTTGGAGACTTACAACGTTATCTTCTCAAATTTCGTTCTTCACTGGATAAAGAACATTGAGGATAAGAAAAAAGCCTTCGAAAATATGTTTAGAAGCTTGAAGCCGACGGGAAAAATTTTTGTGAGATATGGTGATCGAATGCCTACTCACTTTGACCGCGTCTTTCGCGAGCTCAACCCAGAAAATTTGGACTGTCTGATGAGCATTAATCAGTTTGAACCAAGGCCCGTAATTGAACAGATGTGTCTGGCGGCTGGATTTCGCGTTCTGAAGAGTTTTGACGAGAAATTTGAAGATCGAGTGTTTGAAAACGGCGAGAGTCTTTGTTTGTTTTTCTGGGCGACTACAAACGGCGTATTTGATCCACAGTTTGTTACTGAAGACCGAATGGAAAGATTTTGCGCTCGGTATTCAAGTGGAGGAAATGGCGGGATCAAATTACGTTCTGAAGAGAACGATTTATGCAGTGTTTTAGTGGCTGAGAAACCAGCAGATTTAAAATGGTAATAGGCTATTTAAAATTGTTATAGGTTTTAAACAAAATCAGACGACCACGCCGCTGGAGTCCGATTTGTGTTTATTCACGAGAATGATCACAGACCGACTGGACGATAAGAAGTTCTGTTACCGGTTAATCATTACAAAAAAACAGATTCAACTTAATCTTTTTAAAATTAAAATACAAGATCTTACTGCCTTCCTTTTTTGTGGCTTTTTTGCCAGTTGCAGAAAAAAGGAACCCATTTGAGAGCATGCACGCTATGGCGGATACTATCCTAACGTTAATCCTAACGGCAAACGTGAATTTGTACCACGTGACTAAGTTTTTCCCTTAATTTTCGTTAACTGTTTCTTACCTCAACTAAAAAAGATAAGTAGTTTCAGGCCAGTTTTATACATAAGAATTGTTCTGGACAGTTTTATCTGCTTATTTTCTATTCTGGGAAATTCTCAACTTGAATCTGACGTTTCCCATTTGGCGTAAACGTGAATCTTAAACTCTCTACTGTCTAGCCAGTTCCAGGCGTTCGGATAGTGGAGTGCGGCGTGAAGGAAGAGAGCAAGAAAAAAATAATGAGGAAAAGAGGGAGAGGGAAAGAGGAAAGAACGCCTGCGACATTTGTTTTCAAAAGGTCATTCCACCCACTTTGTCGGCTAGTAATCCGAACGTAGTTTCCGCTGTTGAAAGTTTTATTGTCAATCAAGCAACGGGCGACAAACCGCACTGTTTACGTTCTCTGCGAACGAATATATCCCTTACCTCCAAAAATGAAAGAACTGGCAAGCGTTACTCGTTCCAGTTTCTCTACCGTTGATCGTAACTCAACAAATCATATACTAACTGCTGTCAGTTTTTGCTTTTATTATTGAAATGCTGTTTGAATTTGTTTGTCAGTAAAAGCTTCAACGCGTAGCTTTCGAAGACGTGATGAGCGAATAGAGATCTCAAATGTACGTCTCGAGATTAGGACATTTGTTCCTTTGCACAAAATCGGCTTTCACAATATTCAGGTAAATGTTTTGATAGCCAGCTGACAGGAATCTCTAAATTTAGGGCTAAAGGAGCGGCATTTTCTTCTCTTCTACATACATTCACAGCCAATTCGTCCACGCTTCCCTACTGTCGTAGCGACTCCAACTCTTTTGAACTGTTGTACCTGAGTAGCCGCTAAGGCGAAACGTCTCTAGCGGCGAGGAACAAGGCCAAAGTGAAACGGCTGTATTCCAAATTTCCAATCAACGTATTGAACATCTTAGTGCTGACAAGAGCTGTCAAAATAGGCCAATCATGAGGTATACCAGAATCTGGTATAGCGGAATGAGCTTTTGTTAAAGAGTCTTACAGGCGTTCCCTCGCTCTCACCCCTACCCCACCCCTCGTTTTTTTTTTGTTTGTTTGTTTCTCTGCTCTGCGCCGTCCCGACGATCTGAACGCTTGGAACAGACCAGATACTATCGCGTTTTATACTTTGGCATGACGCGTACAGTCCTTTAATGCTGAAATAACCAATAAGATTTGAATTTTGACTTCGAGACCGCCCAAATAATACTCCAACATAAAGTCATACTCCGACATATGAATAATATCGAAACTAAAATTAATATTCAAACAAAAGCTACTGAGCGGTACGTTCCTGTTGTATGGCCGTGGTTCAAAACGGTTGAGCCTGTACGGCCTGTACATGCGATAGGCAGCCCTAGAGTGAGGAAGTTCCGTTATTTGACTGTAAGTGTGCCCTGGCCTGCGATGCATCAGCCTTCCACAATGCGATTAGTCCTATTCCATTCTCACGGTTTATTTATATCGAGTGTGGAAGAGAGGAACCTAGGAACGAATGACCATAGTTGTGTCGTTTCATGGAGATAAATTTACTTACCGTGACAGTTAGCTCACACCAGGTGCAATATGTCCCGTGTTCTCGTAACAGGAGCCTCGGGCTTCTTGGCTATGCATGTTGTCAAACAACTACTCGATTCAGGTGAATACATCGTACGAGGAACGGTGCGAAGTCTTGCAAACGAGAAAAAGGTCAAACCCTTGAACGAGCTGTCTCCGGAAAACGCAAAATATCCACTCGAACTGGTCGAAGCAGATCTTACAAAGAAAGAAACTTGGGTCGAGTGAGTAATGTAGTCGCTAACCGACAACTAAGCAGGTCTTTATATTTTCCTGTTGTTTGTTTTTTGCCCTTTCCGTGCAGTTAATACCCGTTTTTTTATGCAGATTATTGTAATATTCAATATCCCACATGAAATCAATCTTGATTTAATTTGCTGAGTCACACCACGCTATATTTTGTCGATGAAAATAACGGGTAAAATTAGCAAATTTTACTGGTCAATGTCTCCACAGGAAGTATTTTATAAAGTGTGAAAAATTTGAAATAACAACGAAATGCAAGAGTTTTGTAAAAATTCTACATACATAACCCTTGCTTTGTTGTTTACAAATTTTTATTTGCCGTTCTTTCATTCGTGCAGAAAATTTATGCTAAATTATGTAATTACAAGGAAATATGATATATTAGTGTACACAAAACAACATTTTCTTTGTTTTCGCTCTGTAATCAAAACTACATAAAGCAATATGTGGTCATATATGTATAAAGCAATAGGAAAATTTTTTCTTGGTTCGAGGCCGTTATTCAAACCCAAGAGAAAGTCGGGGGCAGTCATGCAAACCCTAGAGAAAGTCGGAAATTTGCATAACTCTCAAAAATTATTCCAGTGAATTAGTTCTGTCAGGAGAGAATGAGGGATTCTCGGTTCCATACTTCAAAGGTATCTCGCGACACCCGGCGGTGGCCAGAAGGGAGACCGGGAGTTCTTACACGAGGTTTTTGTACAAGAACAGGAAAGCCCATGAGCCCATACTCTTACTAAACTAGCCTGCGTGGTAGGCATTCAACAGGGAAGGGGAAAGGAATTTGGGCTCACGAGCGCGGGTGGTGACAAGACAGGGGAAGACGGGTTTCCCTCCCTCCCTCCACTCGCGCACCCTTTACGTTTTTCGCGCGCCCGAAGTCCCTTTCGTCTTCCTTTCTCAAACGCCTGCCTCCCAGGCTATTTCTAAACCAGTTCCAGAGACAAATGGTTTCCCTGCTTCTCATTGGCTTGTCTCTTTGACCCGCGAAGCCGTTGTCGCGAAGTTTGGGGTGGAGCGGGCGAGGGAACGGCTCGTTCTTTTCGGTGACGTCATCGTGCGAAAGTGTATTCCAGTTCCAACTGGAACTCCAAGGGACTAGGTTACTGATTACGGTAATAACATTAATTACATTACTTCCGGAGTAATCGTATTTTAGTCGGGTCATCTTCGGAAATCTCAAAATTTTGTCTAGTCGACCAATTTTGTGCGAAGAATTCATGTAGGCATAAAAAATCATGAGCTGGCACTACCATGGAGTGGTAAACTAGGCCGAAGTCATGTCATGTCAATCTCGTTCCCAGGATACTCTCCAACCGGTCCCTATGGGGCGAGAGAGAGAGAGAGAGAGAGCGACGGGTAGGAGAGAGCCCTGGGAACGAGGTTGATGTCATGTCAGAAGGCAATAAATTCAAGGGTGACAAATTTTTCTCATCTAAACGATTCTTCCTTGATGGCAAACTTCAAGTGGAAAGATGGTTGATCTTACAGTAGCCTCTGTCACGCATCCCCACCCCCTATGTTTGTTGGAGAGGATTGCATGACGAGCCTATAGAGCGTTTGTGTGTTAAAAAAAATGTCTTAAGGCTTGTTTATAGTGTAAAGTGCACTTAGCTTATGCAGCTAGTTTATAGGCACCTCACTCAAATACTTACAAACAAATGATTCAAATACAACATAACAGGATTAAAAACCCCAACTGGTAGGAGGCAGCCAGTTGGTTATTTCCAAGCGCGACCGAGGATATGAATTCGGGACGAACGACTACAAATCCAGCAAGTGGCCAGAGCGGGACTCGAACCCGGGACCACCGGATTGCGAGTCCGACCTTCTTACCACTCGGTCACGCTGCCTCCTGTGTGAGGCTACAAAATTTGAGGACCCTATGGAAAAAAACTTTCCAAGTAATTGTTACATAGCACTCTGCTCCAAATGATGGCCTTTTTGATTGGCTTTAGGGTATCCTTTCATCTCCTTACTTCCCAGATTGATGAGCCGCCCAAAATGACTCACTTGAAAGGTCCCGACACTTTTGATCTTCACTGTAGTCTTATAGCGCCTTCCAGCTATTTTATACCGTGTAACTGATCGTCTGTTCGTCTCTGACAGGGCTGTTAAAGACTGTACCTATGTCATTCACGTGGCATCGCCCTTCCCAGCGCAGAATCCAAAAGATGAGATCCTTCACTATCCTGGGCGCCACCTGCCTTGTTTTTCGCACGAACTTCGAACACGGTTTTGGTTCCCACCTCACTTTTCTCAACACGAATGTTCGAGGACTGCTGCGATTTATTGTAAGAGTTGATCTTCATATAGTCAACTATAAATAGGCCGTTCCCTTTTTCCAGTGAACAGTGACACCAACTCAAGGCGTGGATACTGTGATTTGTACACAGAAGGCCCAATGCCCGGCCTCAAGCTCCCTATGAGAGCCGTGAGCAACTATACCCCACTTTAGACCTAGCTAACTAATTTTTCATACGGCAACAGTTATAAGACGTTATATGAGAGTTATTCTTTGCCCTTAGTAAATGAGCAAATTAGATTTCCCTTTAAAGTTTGCCTTAAACGTTTTCGTGTGTTCATACGCTGATCCGCCTGGGTACGTGGGTGAAAAACCGTCGCTGAAGAAAAAGGTATTTAAAAGTGCCGAAGAGGCCTGAAACGCAGTGAGCACACAAAGTAAATTACTTTTTTCCGCCGAAGCCTTAAATTGTGTGTACCGCCGGAGTGCCCTGCGGGCAGTGGTTTCTACTACAGGCAGGACTGTTGCTACGAAGCCCCTTCCAGCGCCACGGGACGAATAAATTAAACTTGAACAGGTAAAACCTGTTTAAACACAAGTTAAGGCTGTAAATGAATGTTGTTTGTTTCTAGCTGGTCGAGTCAGCGAAGACGGCCATGTTTTTACCGAGGAGGACTGGTCCTCACTGGAGAACAGTCTCCCGTATGAGAAGAGCAAGCACCTTGCCGAGAAAGCAGCCTGGGAACTGGTCAAGGATTTACCAGGTTAATCCGAACATGTCTCTTATAAACTCTCTTTGTAAGGCAAAAGCTTAGCCTGCAAAAACATCCGTTTCTCCTCGCTCTTCGCCGCTGGGGACGTTTCGCGTGGAGGAACGTCTGCTACTCAGCGGCAGAAATTCCATACTGATGACGCAAATCAATGTTTACGTAATAAATCCGGTAGTTGTCAAAAAAGTTGTCCAATTTAACGTGTCTTCTGGTCGATTTTAGTAAAGTGTTGTGTTCATCTGCCAACGAGCTCCAGCAAAACTCAAATGCTTCTTCTAGAGAAGAGTATATTCCACAAATATTGACTGTTTTGTTAGAGATTCTTCGCGTTTACTTTTGACCTTTGTAGCCTTTTGTCTGTCATTCGTAATGTAACTACTCCAATCAGCGCTTCTGACCGGATTCAGGACAGATTTTACGTCATCAGTATGGAATTTCTGTCGCTGAGTCGCAGACGATCCTCCTCGCGAAACGTCCCCAGCGGCGAAGGGCGAGGAGAAACGGATGTTTTCGCAGGCTAGCAAAAGCTAACCTGCGTGCGAATTCTCTTGTTGGGCAGCAAGCGACGGGTAAATCCCGAATCTTTACTTCAAGAGTTCTGCTAGCGCGTTGGTCCTTGCGCGAAAACCAACACGAAACCTGACAAGAAAAACTAGTAAGATTGCTCTATTTTTGACAAGTATAAATCCTCATTCTTTCTACACTGGAGATCTGTACAGTACGGGAAATGACCCCCGACCGCAGAAATGATCCTTTTTGTCTTTATATAAGCAAAAAAGACGCTACGAAAACTTACAGATACCTCCCAGCTTTTACCTTGCTCTCAACTGACCCGCTCATTGTTGTTTTTAGATGATGAAAAGTTCGAGTTGTGTACAATTAATCCCGGACTGATTCTTGGACCAATATTGCATGGCTCGAACTGCACTAGTATGGAGGTACGTATCATTTTTTTTACCCCCCCCCCCCCGCAACCCATTTACACGGATTAACCGTTCAAATTCTGTTACAGTACTGTTAACACGAGTCCCTACAAATGTTTGCCAGTGTCAGCAACCACGTCAGCATTGGAGTGGCTTTTTTTTTTACCAAAGACGCGTAACAAGGCTCCAGGCCTTTACCGCGGAAATTGTGCAAAAACTTACATGGTTCAGGTGTTAACACAAATCTACTTAACAGAGAAACCATACCTGTCCAAATTTTGACCTACTTCTGATCAGGAAAAAAACCTGCACAGTTTGCCGTTCAAGAAAATTTGCACGGCTCAGCCGATCCCGTGTAACGAAAGGCGGATCCTTGCAAGCCAGTTTGATCGTTCAAAATTTGTCCGAACCCGTGTAAACGAAGTTTCAGTCCTATTACCATATTCTACTGAACCCGCCTGTAATGGCTTCCTGTTGCTACTTGCAGTTTCACCGGCAGTTGCTTGAACATAAGATGCCAATGGTTCCAAAGATGTCGATGCCAATAAGTGACGTCAGAGATGTGGCCGCGGCACATATCACTGCTATGACGTCACCCAAGGCGCCCGGTAAGTGACAACCTCGTTCCCAGGGTTCTCTCTCTTTCTTCCTAGCCCTGGGAACGAGGTTTAGTAAGTGTGAAGGTAAGAGGTGATGTCAGCAGTGTTAGGAATCACTAATTTGTCACCACTCAAATAGGCGCGGTTTCCAAGAGCGGTTACAGGGTTCGTGCCAAGACAGCATGACGGTCTTTTTCCTCTCTTGGTTCGTGCGGGCCATTGAAAACCTGTAAAATCAAGAAATTTAAGAAATTCATTATCCACGACGAAATTTACTTGTCGGTCCTTGAAAGGTATGGAAAATTAAAGCTGTATCGGGTAGATTAGCAAGGGAAATGTAAGATAGAGGCGAGTAATCAAACAGCGCTACTGGGACGCATTTTGGTGACTGACCAGAGTTTGTCTGTTGAAATTTGTTAGGAAAAAAATACCCTAAAACAAGAAAAGTTTCAGAACATTTAAGGTAAACCTAACGTCATGGAAAACTTGAAAAAGTCATGGAATTTCGAGAGAGCTCAAAAGAGTTGGAACCGTGGTTTCATCTGACCACAGTGAGAGGAAATTAAGTTTAAGCAATTACGACGGCGACGGGGCTGGCAAAGGCAACGCACTGTGAAAACACAAAAGGCTCAATAATGTTATTCGTTTTCTGAATAAGTCCTCTAAAACTCTACTCCACGTGCTTACACTTTTTGGTGTCTTTTTTTGTCGTCACTGCACGACTGCTACGTGAAAGTTCTTTATGTAAAGTCTTGGGGACGAGGCTTCACTGAAGGTGGTTTGGATGTTAGCAGCGAGTCCTAGGCCTCTCTTTATCTGCGACCACCTCTCCTTCAATTCAGTTTTCTGGGGTGTAACGGAGACGTAAACTGAAAAACTTACATAAAAGGCCTCAATGAGATAACAGTTGATAAAATACGATGCCCCTCTTTGGATGAATATAGGCCATTTCGTAGTTGCCTAAGCCTCCGTTTTAAATTGAGACTTGTGCGAAGCCATTGGTATGCATCAGTTACAACAGTTAGAAGGATTCCAGTTCTCAGACTAGGTATACGAAAAATGAAATATAGGAAAGGGGTACTTTTTCTCTCAAAAATGGTATATTAAAGGGTAAGGGATTGGACCTCGGAGCGGAGCCTCCACCAGTCCCCTTATAAAACTTTGTGGACTACCCCCCAGGGGGAGGTCTCAGTATCCTTACTGAGATAAAGATGTATTCCTCTTTTATTAGGCAACAGATTCATCGCAATCACTGCTTGCATTTGGGTAGTTGACTTAGCAAAGACTCTGAATGAGGAATTCCGACCTCTCGGTAAGTGAAAATTAACGATGACCATAACACCGCCATTTCCACGTTATGTTATCTAAGCCACGTAAAGTCTATAAATAGATAAATAAATGTAGATATAATTTAAATATATTAATACATAAATAAATAACGATTTAGAAGTACCGTATCCACAAAGTGGTTCTTTTTGTTCTGGGCCTGGTCGAATTGGAATTTGGAAATGTTGGTTTGTGACAGGTTTGATTCGTGGCTGGTTAAAACGCGCAACATCGATCGTTCTTTATCTCGTTTTGCAACAATAAACAAGTTGCACCGTTATTTTTTGCACGTTCTACCGTATCATTAGGAAGAGATCTGATGGTCTAATGATTTCTTAAACCGCGGCCTAAGACTGTTAGACTTCGTTTGGACAACCGACCCAAAATGTCTTGTTAAGAACAAATTGAAAACCACACGGAATATGCCAATTTTTAGGTTTAACCTGAGCATCGCGAATCGTCTTAGTGTACTACTAATCAAAACTTGTGAAGGTAAAACAACAACGACACCACTGAGGGTTAGCCGGATCTTTAGTAGACCTGGATCAGTAAAATCTTCAATACCAAATTTGAAAATTAAAGCAGTAAACTGATCGAAATATCGGGCAAATATAATTCACCATTTTATTTTTGTTTTCTTTCTTTATTTTTCCTATCACTCTTCCTGCCGTAAGGATCAGTTTACTGCTCTAATTTTAAAATTTGGCACTACTAATGAGACTGTTTTGGGGATGCTATGACTTATTTTGGTTTTCACTAAGTTGCGCTGTAAACTGGGTCAAAATTGGTCTTCCCAAAACAGTCCCAACAGTGTCATTCGGTATAACACTGACTCATTTTCGCGCCAAAATCACAAAATGGATAAAAAATGACATATTCGCCAGTTAAGAAACGCCTAGGAAACTGGACCGAGTTAACTTTTGCAAAGACTTCTGGGACTGTTACTAAGGACGGAAAAAATTGGCCAATAGCTGTCGAGAACGTCCCCAGTAACGATCCCAGAATCAATTGTGGAACGCATTTCGGCTCCAGTAGCCTTCTCGTTTCTGAAGTGGCGAACGATCATCTCTTACCCCATGTGGCGAACGATCATCTCTCGCCCCATGTGGCGAACGATCATCTCTCGCCCCATGTCAGGTCATCCAAGACGTTCTTGGAATTCTGGATTTGATTTTCAAGCTGTGGATTCCGCATTCCATTTACTGAATTCCGGATTCCTTTCAGTGGCACTAGTTGAATTCCGGATTCCAATTGTCAGCGATGCGGGATTCCGGATTTCCTTGAGTTGAATAACGAATTCCACAGCCCAGGATTCCGGATTCCAGAATCCCGTCATACCTTATATGGGGTGACATCTCAAAGAGCTCAGTGTGGTCTTATTTGATTCATAGGAAACTGACCAGAACCGTTTTTCATATTTCTCTTTTAACGCTCGTCATGTTTGCAAACATGTTAATATTTGTAATTTCAGTTTCCACTTTAAATTAACTTGCCTATTATTTATTTCTCAGGTTATAATGTTCCTACCACCCAGAGTCCCTCCGTCCTGCTAAAAATTGTTGCGTTGTTTGATGCTACTGTAAAGTTGATGGTGCCCTCTCTTGATCATGAACTTAACATATCCAACTCTAAGGTATCATAGCCGGTGTGTTTTTTCTATACTGCGCATGCTGTATCGTTCTTTGGGTTTTTTTTTTAGGTGTTGCCAAGGTGAAGGTTGTCCAATACTGTAACGGTCCGTATAAGCCATGTTACGATCCGTACGGATCCCACGGATCGCAAAACTCGCTTACAGTCCGTAAAGAGCTGTTTAGGATCCGAAGATTGTATCCCAGTAGTGGGACGTAGAATATTTCATGGCAAGAGAGGGTATATACGGTTTGTTGATCGGTAAGGATCGTACAGATCGCAAATCTCGCTTACACTGTGCCCTGATGTAAAAATGAGATGCACGCTCCGTCTGTGTGCAGAATACGGACTGTTGGCAATGCTGACGGTTTGTACTGAGGAGCGCACGATCCGTCAACTGCTATTAACAGTCCGTAACAGTGCGGCAGTATTGGACATGACTGGAAGGAGAGGAGGGAATCTTGAATCCAAGTTCTACTGTCAAGGAAGAGTCCGGAATCCAATACCTGGAGTCCAGAATCTACAACGTGGAATCCAGAATCCTTGTCTGTCTTTGATTACCTTATATGGCGCGATGCGTGATTTGGTGATTGCACCCGTCCAAAACATCAAGAAACCCTTTTTTCAACGACTGGAAAAGTGGAAAATGTGATAAAACTATTTTTTTTTCACTATATTACAAACCCAAACGACTGAGCATGTTATTTGTTGTTTTTCTATAGATCAAAGAAGAGTTTGGATTCCAACCAAGAGACCTGAAAACCACCATAATAGACATGGCATATAATCTGATTGACTTGGGTTTCATCAAAAAGACTGAAGAATACAAAAAGGCCAAGGGAGAAGCTAGTGAATCTGAAGAGAAGAAATGCCGATTTTCAAAGAAATGAAAAGGATTAATCATGGTTTTCAAGGGGGACCGCATAAAACAGTTAACCGACCCCGCCTTTAGTGTAATCAGGATCCAACCTCGTCTCCAGGGCTTTTCCCTTAAAAAATGACCCACCCATTTTTTAAGGGAAAAGCCCTGGAGACGAGGTTGGTCAGGATCATAGGTTAGAGAAAAGTACTTAGTATACAAGTGTTCAGGTTTAAGGGACGAAAATACTCATTGTTATGTTTACTTGATTTTGTAGCTTTTACTGACCTGTTTATATATTTAAAGATAAGTATGAGAAGAGAAACGAATGTTGTTAGCAGACTTGGCATGAGAATATTTCATTGCTGAGACTTTCACAAAAGGAATCTCGCAACTGTTAATTCATTTATGGCCGAAAGATAATTATGTGATAATCATTCAAAGGACTTTGTTATACATTATACTCACTATCTGACTTCTTATTGGTTAGGAGCGTGCAGTTAATTTTGGAAATTAGCGCAACCTACAGATTAGTTAGTTATCTGCTAGCAGATAATTGACTAATCTGTAGGTTGCGCGCACAATGCATGATTTCCAAGGGCAGTGTCAAACTTTGTTCCGTGCGATGGTGTGTTTGTCGTTATTCCCTTCATAACGATATATGTATAATAAACAATTAGTAGTTTCGGGTTTTGGGGTATCCAGAATAATCAAGGTCTCAGTAAGTATGAACATACGAAAGTCCTTAAAATCAGATATAGTAATTAATCCGTCGGCATAGCGACAGTAGCGCCTTTTATGGCTCAGTCAATAGACCCTTTTCGATATATTAAAATTCATACTTGGTTCCGAGGCTTGGGGGAATAAAACAAAAGAAATGTATTATTCATTACTGAACCTCAAGATGATTTGTTTTGGTGTATACGCCGCTTCCACATTTTCCATAATGCACCCTATTTGCCGCCAAAAATTTTGCATAAGCATTGTTTCCAGTTTCTCTTGGGACGGCTGTAATACCCAGGAGAAATGAAAAACAAAGTCATGGAAAATTTTGGGGGCGAATAAGGTGCGTTATGGGATATATCGAAGTGTCGTATTCCCCCAAGCCTCGCAGCCAAGTATGAATTTTAATATATCGGAATTGGCCTGTTCCAAGCTTGTCCATCCCCCCCCCCGGGGCATTTGTCGGGCATTTGTCATTTTTTCCTGAAACGGCTGCAAATTCCCCACGGTAGGGCCAGGCGGTTCATACAAAACCCCCACGGGTGGGGCCGAGAAGAAAGTTAACTTCTTCTCTGCTAAGTTTAGCATAACGGTGAAATATTGAAAAAAGGGAACGACGTTAACCGCTTCTCGAAGAATTGACAAATGCCCCACGCCTGGCCGGGAAGACGTTTTCTGACAAATTTCCCTCCGCCGGGACCGACAAGGTGCCCGACAAATGCCAGGGTGGAAGGGGCTTGGGGGTGGACACGCTTAGAATTAACTGAGCCATTAGAATTGTGATACAAGTGTTTGAAATTTAAGTCAAAAAACGTACGTGGATGGCACCTGTGATGCCTTTGTTAGTTCAGTAATGAAACCTGTGAATAGGACTACAACAGTACTGCCTTGAGGTGAGATAGGACGACCTCGCCGTAAATCAGAGTTCCAGTTGCTTAAATCATATGACTGATTGTCGTCTGTTCTCTTTTTTCATGCAGAGTGAAAGGGTCGATTGTCATTAAGAAAAGTGAACTTGAAAAAACGACACGTAAAATTATGTTATGTTAAATTTGATGCTTCTATTGTTGTTACTTTATACTTTTTTTACCGCTCGAAAGGGGTACCTTTTTCTGGCGTCAGCTTTATGAAAGGGTAAGGATTTCACGAGTTGAATTATATGAAAGATAAAGGCTTTTAAAACATAAGCATATTTTGGCTGGTGAGGAAGTTGAGAAGAAAACTTTCCGTACAAAACAACCAAATCTGGCCATAAAATGCCAAATCGGGTGAAAAAATTGGCCAAAGACGATTTTTGTTTTTGTTTTTGTTTTTTTTTAATAGAAGTAGCCTGCGAGAACATCCGTTTCTCCTCGCTCTTCGCCGCTCGGGACGTTTCGCGAGGAGGAACGTCTGCGACTCAGCGACAGAAATTCCATACTGATGACGCAATCCAATACACCGTATTCACAAATGGCGGAAACGCGGGAAAAAACTGGTGCCTAGTCATGAAAGCGAGGCGTTGGAGGATAAACAAAAATTGCAAATGAAGACTTTCAGTGAAACTTGCAGAGTGTTTAGCACGGATTCCACCGAAAATAACTTTGTACGGACTTTTTTTAAATACAATTACGTCGGATGTCTTCTGCTTTTAATGTCTAGTAATGATTTGCTGCTTGCAATCAAAAGGGATGCGTATATCTTCAAGGAAACAGGATGATTTTGTAGGTTACCCTAAGCTCGACAAGTGGACGATGGCTGGAGAAAAGCGGCAAACATGTTGGCCCAAATTAAAACTTCACATTGAAACCAAGTACGAAAGCCAGCTCACTGCAATTCGGTGAAACAGAAATATAAACAAATCTTGGTGGCAAGAAAAAAAGAAATAAGCGACAGATACATGGCCTACTTGTTAACGCAAGAGACGTCTGCCGTTGAACAAAACAGTTCAAGTCGAGATGGAAAAAAGGAAGACAGGAAAGAACAGGTGACTGAGGTTTCGATGAAGTTATGTTTGGTTTTTGTTTGCCAGGACGTTATTCTCTGGTCTTTATTGATGAAGGACATCAATTAGAACTATTTTTTTAGTATGAATGCAGGAGCGATCGAGTGGAGTACGCTCAACTTGTTACTCGGCAGACTCGGTAAGCCAAAGTAAGCCGGACACATATCATTTCAGCGAGTAATTTCGTATTTCTTATCTTTGGCTGTTAATAGTTTTAACTTTATGTTCCATAATATTTTAAAGTTGAAGAATACATAAATAAATAAAATGATGGTCTTCTTAAACGGATCCAGACTCGAATTTAATTATGCGAAACAGAAGCTTGCCGTGTTCAGTCATGACACAAACATTGCCTTAAAAGTTTAACCTAGTAAAATGTAAGCTTTATACCACTTTTTTTCCAAGAGCTCTCTGAGATAATGCCCTAAAGGAGACCAGGCAAATAGCAAGCCATAAGATTCACACACTACAGCTTCTAATTTTTGATAAAATTATTTTTAATTATTTCGCAATGACAAAGAAATCATGAGATTTTTGCTAAGCTCTGCCAACGTACCTCGAACAATTCGCTCCAAAGCGACGGAATTAATATGATCCAAAGGCATTTGTAAATACAGACATACATATATACATAGATATGTATAAAATGACACTGACATGAATTAATGAGCCTCGTGAATGAATCTTTCACCCGCTCTCGACTTGACCTGTTTTGTGTAATGGCAGAGGTCTCTTCCGTTGACAAGTAGGCCCCGTCACTTATTTCTCTTTTTCTCGCCACCAATATCTGTTTTTATTTCTGTTTTACAGAATTATAGTGGTCTGGCTTCCGTATTCGATTTCAGTGTGAAGTTTAGGCCAACTTGTTTGCCGCTTTTCTCCAGTCATCGCCCACTTGTCATGTCCAGCTTCTGATGCTTCGGAAACCTACAAAATCATCCTGTTTCCTTGAAGATATACGCGTCCCTTTTGATTGCAAACAGCAAATCACTACTAAACATTAAAAGCAGAAGACATCCCACGTAATTGTATTTGAAAAGAAGTCCGTACAAAGTTATTTTAGTTGGAATCCGTCTTAAACACTCTGCAAGTTTCACGGAAAGTCTTCATTTGCAATTTGTGTTTATCCTCCAACGCCTCGCTTTCATGACTAGGCACCAGTTTTTTCCCGCGTGTCCGCCATTTGTGAATACGGTGTATGTTCACATAATAAATCCAGTTGTCATGGGGTTCCAAATACAAATTTGTCCAATTTTACGTGTCTTCTGGTCGATTTTGGTAAATTGTTGTGTTCATCTGCCAACGAGCTCCAGCAAAACTCAAATGCTTCTATTAGAGAAGACTATATTCCACAAATATCGACAGTTTTGTTAGAGATTCTTCGCGTTTACAATTCCCCTTTGTGGCCTTTTGTCTTTTGTCTGTCATTCGTAAACAATAGCCAAAACAATGTAACTACTCCGTC